CCCCCGGGGGGGGGGGGTGCCCCCCCCCCCCCCCCCCCCCCCCTGCCTCTGCCCCACACATTCAACAAGGCTCCGTTTCTAGCTGAGCCTCCTAGCAGGGAAGAGTTGGGAGCAAACAATTAAACTGTTCCCGCTCGTGCACAATGGCCCTGCCCCCTGTCCGGCCCGGGAGATCTGCCGTGGGTCGGATCCTAACTGGGGTGTCACTTTTCGGTCAGAGGTCACCAGCAAGGCGAGTGTCGTTACCCCCGTTTGCAGATGGGGAAACCGAGGCACGGAGACGTGCCCTAGGTTACGTGGCGAGTTAGTGGCTGGAAAGAGACCCAGGACCCCCATCCTGGTCCTATTCTCTCCCCACGGCACCGCGCTGCCTGCCTGTCTTAGCAATCTCCTGCGGCGCATGCGCCAGGCTCCCTTGCACGCTCCGGGTGTGGTCATGGGAGGCCCTTTGCTGCGCTGCCGGGACGGCGGAGGGGCGCTCACGCGGCGTGTGCACGGTGCCCCCAGCCCAGCGGGTTCGCGCTTTCCCCACCCAGTTGAAGAAAATGGTGGATATTGTGACCCAACGTCATACGAGTGGAGTGGGGGCTCCGGGATGGGGGGGTAGAGGATGGAGCTGTGGGGTGCAGGAGGGTCATGGGAGGCCCTTTGCTGCGCTGCCGGGACGGCGGAGGGGCGCTCACGCGGCGTGTGCACGGTGCCCCCAGCCCAGCGGGTTCGCGCTTTCCCCACCCAGTTGAAGAAAATGGTGGATATTGTGACCCAACGTCATACGAGTGGAGTGGGGGCTCCGGGATGGGGGGGTAGAGGATGGAGCTGTGGGGTGCAGGAGGGGGCTCGGGGTTGGGGGGTGCTTATCTCCAGCAGCTCACGCTCAGTGGTGCAGTGGGGGGCCAAGTCAGCTTCCTGCCTCCGGGCCCCACAGACCATGCTGTGCCCAGACGCAGCAGGTTTCCAGCCAATGGGAGTGCGGGGCGAATGCTCGGGGTAGGGGCAGTGGGTGGAGCCCTGTGCGCTCCCCCCCACCATCTCAGAGCCGGGCCTGCTGCCGGCCGCTCATGGGGCACAGCACGGTCTGCGGGGCCAGGCCAGGCGGGGAGCTGCCTTAGCCCCCCCCTGCTCACCTGATCCCCCTGCAGCCACGAGCCCCAGCGCCCGACATCCCACCCCAGTGCTGGGGCGAGGCCCGGCGTTTGCAAACCGCTGGGCTAGGGGCTGATCCGTATCACCCAGTTCAGCATCCCCCGGCCATCTCCCTCTTTCGACTCCACGCTCCCGCCCTTGTGCTATTTACTGTCACCAAAGTGCAGCCTGGAGCCGTTTGTCCTGCTGAGACATCCCAGGTTTCGCATTGCAAAGAATCACAGAACCTAGAACCTGTCCCCTGCCCCATCTAGACCATCCCTGTCAGGTGTTCGGCCTGGATGCCTCCCAGCTGGGCCGTCTGCATGTCTGTCCTTGCAGCGACTGGCTGTGATCGGGTCAGAGGCCTTGAGGCTGCGAGATCTTGTTCTGCGTCTGCTGCCCGGTGCGTTTTTTCTGTCGATTGTGCTCGGGGAGGACCAAGCTGAACACATCAGTGGTTTCGGATTGCCTGCCATCCAGGTGCCAGATTCTTCTGTACGGCAGCTAACGCTGTCTCCCCTGCATCTCCATCCAGGTGCAGACAGATTCGGCCCCCAGCTGGCAGTTCTCTGAGTGACGTCCGGTGTAAGTGTCCGTAGCTCTTTTAAACCCTCCGATCCGGTCTGGTTACTCTGCATGTCCGGCCACTGGGAAGATCTGGTTCTTTTCTAGTAGTGCTGGATCGTTGTCCCCTCAGGAGCAGTGCTGGACTAAATCCAGAAGCCACACTTGGTGGTGTCTTGCAAGGCAGGAGAGCAAGGAATGGGGTTTTGCGGCTGGGGGGTTCTCTTTCAGCCTCTCCGCTCGCCTGTGGGTAACGTGGGCTGCTAGTTGTATGATCCAGTCGTATTTTGTTCAGTGTGATGGAAGTTCTGCTGCACTGAATTGTGATCCCTTGCCCGTCACGAGTTGTTCTGGAATATCACAGCGCACAAGAGCGCACATCTCCTGTATCTTCAGTTCCATATGTCTACACGCCTGGACCAACAATCCACCGTGGCCAGGCCCTGATGCGCCCTGAATACACATGTATCATCTCTCCCAAGGTGGTGTAGTGTGTGGTTCAGCATGGCTCTTCAGTTGATTTGTACGGGAATCTCCTGCCATATTATATCTGTTTGTACATCTCGCTGTCTGCACGTCCATTTGTTCAAGAACTCCCCCTACACGGTAAGAGCGGGGACCACCACATTCCGAAGGCAGCTTCCTCGTCTCCTAATTTAAAGCGAGGTCGGGGTTTGGTTGTACCTGGACAATGGGATGAGCCTGGAATGCGACTGTTTTCCAACACGTGATCGGAGGGACAGCCATACTGCAGAGTGACCACAGGATGACAGTGGCTGGCTGGGGTAAGTGCCCCCCACCAAGCTTCTGCCCTGAGTCCCAGCGCTGGACTGAGGGGTGCAGGTCAGCCCCACCACCGCAGCACAGACAGTACACTGGTAAAGTTTGCAGATGGTACCAAGCTGGCAGGGGCTGCAAGTGCTTTGGAGGATGGGTCAGAATTCAGAATGATCTGGAGAAATGGTCTGAGGTCAACAGGATGAAGTTTAAAAAGGACAAATGCAAAGTGCTCCACTGAGGAAGGAACAATCCGCTGCACACGTGTAGAAAGGGAAGTGGCAGCTGTGGAAGGAGTCTGTGGAAAAGCATCAACGGGTTCTAGTGGACCACAAGCTAAATATGAGTCAGCAGTGTGACACTGTTGCAAAAGAAGAACATTCATTCCGGGCTGCCGTCACAGGAGAGTCGTGAGCAAGACACGAGGAGTCGTTCTTCCGCTCTGCTCTGCTCTGCGCTGGTTAGGCCCCAGTTGGAGTCTTGTGTCCAGTTCTGGGCACCGCAGTTCAGGAAAGATGCGGAGAAATTGGAAAGAGTCCACAGAAGAGCAACAGAAATTATTAAAGGCCTAGAGAGCATGGCATCTGGGGAAGGCTGAAAGAACTGGGCTTGTTTAGTTTGGAAAGGAGAAGGCTGAGAGGGGACATGCGAGCGGTTTTCAAATACCCAAATGAGTGTCACAAGGAGGAGGTAGAAAAATTGTTCTCTCTAACCACTGAGGATAGAACAAGCAGCAAGGGGCTTAAATTGCAGCAAGGGAGGTTGAGGTTGGACATTGGGAAAATCTTCCCACCTGTCAGGGTGGTGAAACACGGGGATAAATTGCCCAGGGGTTGTGGACGCTCCATCTCTGCAGATATTGAAGAGCAGGTTGGACAGACGCCGGTCAGGGCCGGTCTAGACGGTGCCGGGTCGGACTCTTCTGATGACCTCTCAAGGCCCCGTCTCGTCCTGTGATTCTGTGCGCGAAAGGCCTGGAAACCTGAGCCCCAATGGAGAGGGCCCTGGATTAACATTTTCAACCCCCAGCCCCTTGATTTCAGCGTCCTCGCTCGGGACTCAGCCTTTGGGGTTGGCAGTGGGGCTGGAGGCGAGGCCCAGGGCGGGATGCGGCCAGCGAGTCCAGGCAGCTCGGGGAAAGGGGCTTGGGGCACTGGAGCTCGGGGGCTCCTGGAAGAGCCGGCTGAGGGGGCGGCAGCTGCACAAACAACGTGTTGCCCGGGGATTAGGCAGGGGCTGGCTGGGAGCTGCAAAGGCAGGGGCAGGGTTTGGGGGGCCAGGGCC